GTTCTTGATTTCTCAAGGCACGCCAACTCTAGCTTGGTTCTCCTTGGAGCAGAATCCAAAAAGTTTGGGTGGAGAGCATCGAGCAACGTAATGTTCTTGTCAGTAATTCAGCTAGGCAAACAAGAGGGAAGCCTCTAATCTCTTAAGTATTTATATGCCAACACACTCCATCTTGCTTTAGCACTTGACAGAGACGTTTTTGGTTCTCAGTAATTACACAGATGTTGAAACTGCCACTATGGAGAACATTATCTTTGTAAAGAACTTTGTAAAGGAATACACTGGAATAATGCTAGGTACTGAACAGATACTCAAAGGTTTTGGAAGTAAGGAACCATATTAACAAGGGGAAGGAAGAGAAGTTAAATCATAGTTGGTTTAACTATGGTTTGAGTCAGCCACAATTGACTGGATTTTCCCAGCATGCCAAACCACACATACCATATTATACCTTAGCGTGGCATGTGTAACCAGCCAATAAAATTAGGAGTCCTCTGATCTGGAGAACCACAAAGATGACCTTGGAGAAGGACTGTGGCCACAGTTAGCAAAACGTGATTGAAGTCCAGGAGAGAAGAGGACATTAGAAGAGACTCAAGATTGCCCTGCCTTGATTTTCTTTTGCATAAGAGGAAGGGAGGAAAACGCTGTTTTCAAGATTTTCAAGTTTTGGTCACTCTAGCCTACATCAATAGAGTTCCAGTATTTCTGTTTCCTGACTTGGCCTACCTCAAAGGGCTGAGATCTGGCTAATTAAAATAAAACGGATCACACTCAAAAGGGGATTCAGTTCTGCAAATGAATTCACAGAAATCGTGACCCCTCTTTTGATTCTCACAGCCATTTCAATTTGGGGACCCAAAAATAACATTTCACAAAAACTTGCGACTAGCTGCTTTTTATCTTTGTTCCACAAGTCTCTCTTCTGTTGTTAGAGGACAGAAGTGGAGGCTTTAAACCAAACAGCCAGGAAAATGAGATATTTAAAGCTGGGTCCTTTTAGATTGAGAATCAGTGATCTCCACTGAGATTTTTTTAAAAAAAATTCCATATCATGATTTTGATTCTATGACCATGAATAGATTGAGCGCTAAATGAA